TATTAGTAGTTGTTGATTTTGGAATGTTTTACATTGGATCCGACAGACGGCGCTACCATCGCAGTGTCAAATTTTAAATAATATTCGAATTTTCAAATTAAAGACGTGTAGACAGGACAACGTCTGTCAGGTCCGCTAGTTTAAATATATAATACAGATGAAGGTTTGTTTAATTCAGACAGATAATATAACACCTTTCATTTTCATAGTTTTCCCGAGTTTGCGCCAACGACCGTTTCCACATACAAGTGTCAACTTACAAGCGGACGTAATGCGAACCTCCAGTAAAATACACAAACTAACGAACAAACGACAAAACATATGAAATTGTCTCTTATCTCGTGTACATAAGTGTGATAATCCCGTAGACATGTATTAGGAAATGTGTAAAAAGTTGTAGGCCATACGTAAGCTGAGAATGTTGGTGAACGGGCAACCGTTGATACTAGTAATTTAATATGTACTCTGCCCGTCTTTCTATTGAAGGTGTTATTTTATTTGGAAACTAGCTGTCGCCCGCGACTCCGTCTGCACTATGTCTAGCCTATGTGTTTTTCCAGATTATGCCTTACATATATGCCAAATTTCAGCGAGTTCCGTTGAGCCGTTCCGGAGATAACTTCAAACAAACTTCCATCCGTCGAAACATTCGCATTTATAATATTAGTAAGATTTAAACTAGTACTAAGATAGTCCAGTTAGTATGCTTTCTATTCCTGATTTTAATTCTCTTAGTAAACTTATGATAGTTTACTTTTGTGTTCTTCACAATAATTCAACACACTTTTGACACACTATTGGACGTATTGAAGTATCGTCGCAATTGTTTACAAAACTTACACTTTTTCCATAACAATCAGGTCAATGCTCAACAATGATTACTTGTTTGGAATGATAACATTCACAAGTATACACATTGGTTTTCTTTAATGTCGCTGTCAATACGTTTTCTTTTATCTATGTAGAGCTCTACCTGAGAGCATCGGTGGCTCAGGAGTCAAGCACTTGACTTGCAATCTGCAGGTCTTGGGTTCGAATCCCGCCATGTGTTTTCGATTTACGATCTACATATGTACATTTATCCGACGTTCTTACGGTGAAGGAAGCATGTGATGCACCTGCACATGTCTGAGAAGAAATTTAAAGATATGTGAAGTCAACCAGCACTGGGCCAGCGTGGTTGACTATGGCGTAGTCACCCCTAACTTAGGGTAGGCTCCGAGCCCCTTGGTGGGGACATATGGGGTTGGACTGATGATGATGACGTGGGGCTAAGAACAATTATTAAAAGTTTAGTTTTGTGTTGAAAAATCGAACATTCTTTTCTAAAACAAGTACTAGGACGGCATGATCGCATAGGAGCAGTTGGCCGCATTCTTTACACTGATATCGTACCGAAAGTGGAGCGGGCGTCCGCTGCCGTCGTACTGCATCTGTTGTGCGCGTTTATTTCCACCCTCGCAAATATTATTAATAGGCAAAGATCTTTAAGAAATAATATAAGACGTAGTTTAAGTTTTTATAAAACAATTGAAGTCATGTGTGAAACCAATGAAAATCCGGAGCGCCATTTAATACGGCTGATATTGGATACGAATAAGCCGGCCGCTAGACACGCTCGACCTAATTAGTCAGTCTAGGCGCAAATAAGCTAAAATTTAATTCGTTAATTATATTAGACGTGTTTTTCACTGTTGGATTTTATTTTAAAAGTCATTATTGCGACCTTAAAATGTAATACAATAAAAAAAATGTATTTTTTATTACTAGTAGGGTGTGAAACATAGGATGAAATGGATTTAAAACCTACGCTACATTTTCATAATCATGTCATATAGTTTAAGGTATATTTTAGACGAGTTCAAAATAAACGGTATGTAATGGCGTCTAACAATGACAAATTATTCTAGAGTAACACTGATTTATGACGCCCTGGTGTCGTCTGGCTGACATATACAAAAATATAACTTAGATGGGTTGAGAATACCTATTTTTTTAATTGCTCCCTATCATCAAATTACATAGTACCTGATGATGATGATGATTTAAATTGTGTTTTTTGGAAATTATATTTAAGTACGAATTACTACTAAAATGATGAAATGTGAATAATATTTTTCGATCTTACCGATAGAAAAAGTTAAGTTTATGTTTAAGTTGATTATCGATACAACACGAATAATATGACATTTTCTAAAAATGATTCCTAGCTAGATCGATTCATCGCCCCCGAAACCCCCTATATACTAAATTTTATGAAAATCGTTGGAGCCGATTCCGAGATATATAGATATACAAGTATTGTTCATTTAAAGATATAAGATTTAGTTCTATGATGTCAATTGAATATTTTTCCAATTCATTGATTTATGTCTGTACCTTAAAGTCAGAACATCGATCATTCGAGAGTTCAGTTCATCGAACCGTGGAGTCTGGGAGGACTTTGGCCCGTGATGCATAATGTCTTATTTGATATGCGTAGGATGACACTAATATGATAAATATTAAATTCCATTGCTGTGCGAATATAACTCATTATTTTCAATATATACATACCAATCAATGAATGATTAAGTATTGTTTTCATTCCAATAGTTGTTTATTAAATACATGGGTATTTGTAGCATCGTACTTAAGGCCATAAGATTGAATAGTAAGGACGTTGAAATGATAATAAAAAACATCTCATTACTCCTTTGCACCATGCTGCTATTTAAAACATTTTGACCCTAAATCATAATCATCTGGATTGGAACACAATTGACCCTTTTTTGTATCATAAGGTGGCAAACGAGCGAGCGGCCACCTGAAATCGCTGAAATAGCGAAGTGATCGTTGCCCATAGCCATACGCAACCGCATACGCGTCGCCCACCTTTAATCGACGGAGGAGAGAATGCACTGAAAGAAAATATTTTCCCTTTCCATGAATCCCCTCATCCGGAAAGTCCACTTCCACTTCCCATCCTATCCTTATAAAGAAAGGGTGTGAAGGGAAAGAGAACTAAATTAGGCCTCCGGGACGCACACTCATCAGACGAAACGCGGAATTGCTTCCACTTCACGCCTGTATGGTCGTGGTATTTCACCGGGCGAGCCGGACCAATTCGTGCGAAAATGTTAAAGCGGGCTCTACCACTGTTAAAATTTAGGTTATATTCTCTTCGATTGTGTTATTTAAAACAAAGGGTTATGCACTCTCGCTTAAGTTTTGCATAAGTACGGTTAGCATCATTATTATAGTGCCTGTGATATTTCTATTTATTTTCCAACCATACTTTTATAAACAATGTGTACTAACGAATGTCTAACGTATATTTTTTAACAGATAACTGTGCGATCGAATTCTGGTGCAAATGTGATTTTTATACAAGTGTAGTGGATAATTTATTTATTAAAAAATTATATATAGATATAGTAATTTATATGATATTTAATCCAAGATGGAACGATACAAATGTTTGTACAGACGGTCTTCCGATAGTGTATTGCAGTTTTTTTAGTACTTAGTGCTAAAGTGTGTAGTCTAGACATTGTGAGTTTACGTAACGGAGTATGCTGATCAATACATTCCTTGACACGGAGGATTTCGTGCACCTTTACTATCCTGAGGATGAGCCGACTCAGGCGCAGGGGTGTGGCGCGGGGGCACGCATGGCCTCCAAGTACCCACCACGACCACCCTCGCCCGATTATAAACAGGTAATTTAAAAAAAAATATCGAAAAAACGAGAAAGATCTAAATTTTATTTTACAGTTTCGGTATTAGCAAGAATATCGTATAACAAAGAGTGGGATTTTTCGTACTCGTTTAGCTCCAAAAAAAACGTTTTTTGTTATTTTACGTAGCAGTGTACAATCACGAGTTTCGAGTTACATTCCCATTGTATCTGTCCTAAACATTGTCTGTTTCTCCTATTACATACATATAAAACAAATTCCATTCATGAGAATAGCCGAAGTCGTGTTACACGTTCAATATAACTATATCTCGTAACGAAATAATGCAATTCATTCGATGCATCATTCACTCTTTGGACACACGAATGTGTGAATGTCTCGCAAGGCCCCAGCCTTGTAGGCGCAGGTACGCGCATGCCGACTATGCCCTTCTTTGCCCATTCACACCAATACTACCACGTACCCAACCAATTGTTCTCGAATACAACTCGAATGTAAATTTTTGTTTATGTTATAAGAATGCAGGGACTTGTAATAATATATCGTGGTCTCTTTTTTGTCGAAAAGAATAATAGGGATGGCAATATGTATTGATAAAACAGTCACGGTGTTGTAAATCTACGGTGACATTTCCGGTTTAATTGCGGATGTTGACATTTTTGAGATTTATGGCTGATCAAGTTTAATACTTGATTTTATAAGTGGAAGTTTATACCGGTTATGTATTTGTTAGTAAAGGTTTATAATGAAGCCGGAAAAGGGCTGTTTTGCATTCTTGACAAGTGTGTGAGACCAGAAATTATAACAAGCTTAATTTCTTGTTTACGCTACAATAGTTTAGATAAAGGTGAAGGATAACCATTTACTGATATCCACATTCTTAATATAAATGCAAATATATTTGATAGGAATTACCATTATACAAAGTTTTTTTTATGTTGTAGCCTTGCATGAATCATGTTTGATAATCTTGTCTTCGAAACATCGGGCTCTTGATCTCGAAATCAGTTCTTGCCAAACAGTAAAACAACGTTTTACTGATAGCCACTTCTTATCATATTTTATCATGTGTTTTGTTTTTCAACACGAAATATTATTTAAATCGATAAGTGAAATATGAGTAATTTTGTTATTATTTTTATTGTTGAATTCCAAATAACTATTTCACTAAATAAGAGTTAAGTTATAAAGATAAAGAAAGTATGTCAACAGCTTGCGAAATAAAAAAAGATTCAGACTAATAAATCAGTGAACAAAGAGGGACAGATCAGCTTCAACGGTTAAGCGAGATATCTCACGCATTACTTTAATCGAGTTATTCACCTAATGACGTATAAATTGCTACAAATGGTAGGGGAGGCGTCAGTAGTAATTGCCGTACACAATGTCTGACGGCTTCCCATGAGTCAGCGGCGCGCCATGGCGCTGCCTCTCAACGCTTTTTGTTGATGTTGGTATGCGTGTTTTACTACGGCTATGTTTTACTGTTTTCAAACTTACATTAGTCACTTAAATACTTATAAGCAAGTCACTTTCAATTATTCTTTACGTAGTTTGTATGAAACTGTTTCGGAAATAATTTTTTAACAAAATCGTTACTTCAAATGTCAAATATATCCCCGTACGCTATCTTCTAAGTATCAGTACCAGGATATCAAGATTGATAACTAGTCGACCTCAATACCGTTAACAGCGGCAGATGATGGCGGCTTATGCAATGCATCTACCGAGTTTCCGCCATTGACTAACGCCGTGCGTCCTTGCGCTTACGAAACGCAAAGGCCGTTTCACCTCCCGTCTCTATACAATAGTATGTTGCGTTAAAACGAAACGTCGATTAGTACAGAAATATGATGTTTTGAAATACTTCTTCTGAGGTCAATTGGTAAAAATGAAGGTAAATTACTCATTTATTATGTTTCTCTAATAACACAAAAGATTGATTTTCTTTGAATGTTATAAAGCTGAGGCGATGTATCATTCGATCTTCTTGTTATCGTAACAAGAGTGGGGAGCGATCGCGAGCGGCCCCGAGATGTCATATTACTTGTTCCACAACACATCCGGTGCACAAAACTACCTCGCAGGACATCTGCACCGGAAGATGTCATTCTGCTCAGAAGACTTTTTGTTGGTTTCGTTTTCAACAAACTTAAACGGTAACTTAACTAATAAAATAACTAAGATTTGTTCAATTAATTTCTAAAATTTCTTGAGTTTAAAATGTACCAGATAAGTATCAGGCAAACATGAATTAGAGGGCGTGACATGTGAACGACCGAACACAACAATGGACGGGTCCGTCGACATGATGCACCATCGCAACTGCCTTTTGTCAAACCTACACTCATTCATCTCATTAATCATTCGTGAATGATCAAAGTGTAAAATCTGATATTTATCGTTCCTCTTATGTATTCCTGGTACTCTTAACCCATATTCAAGTTCATGGGTTATACGTTTTGACGTTGTTGGTTCGATTAATTTGCGGTTAAGTTATAAAAAAGTTATAAAAACAAATGTACAGTTAAATATTTATCTTTCTACATTTGCAGTTTCATGCGATCCATTTAAAAGCTAATTAATGTAGCGACCCAAGAGGAAACAGCACAGTTCCCGAGAGAGTCCTTATGCTAAGAGCTCTCTCGAAAATAGGTTCGAGTTTAGTGCACTTGGCAACTCGGTGAAACTAGACTACCTTTAGGACCACTTTAAATGTAAATAATGTAAAAGTATATATATTCTAAGGTGGTCGTTTATAAAATGGCCAAGAATCTAATCCAGTTTTGAGGTAATCTGACTGTTCACATTTTCCTGTGGTGCCCTGGGGACATTTATCGATCAGCGATCCTAGTCAAAATGTCAAGTAAAGGAAAAAAGCGTGCCGGGAGTTTCCCTTGCCGAAAAAACTATTGAAAAAATATTTCGTCGTCTCTTATGATCTCTGAAAAATAGCAAAGGAAACACAGCTAAACTAAAATTAGAAACAATCAACATTAGGTGGAATGAAATTAACGATTGGAAATTAAATACAAACTCACATACATTGAAACATATCTCTTGAATCAGCCGGGTATATATGTGATGACGTATTTATAAAAACGAACACTTACCGTGGGTTTCCGAGATCAAGTTTAAAACATATTATCTCCGTTTTGTTAAAAAGGTACAGACATGACAAGGATGGCGATGATATACAGAGATTTTGGTCTCAGAAACCATTGGTAAAGGCGTTAAATACAGTTGGGGCGAAATTATTTTGAATTTTATCACTTTTGGATGGTGTTAATACAAAGAACACTACTGTTTTATGGTTAACGAATAGCGCCGGCTTGACGGGCGGTGAATGAACTCGGACCGCATAGTTAAATATTAAGAAGCCGATTGTAAACTGTATAGTTGCCTATTGAGTTATTTATACAGCGGCAACCAATTTTATTTGGTTACTCGATATACGAAGTAGATATTATTAAGTTTATTAGGAACTAGCAGTCGCCCGCGACTCCGTCCGCGTTGATATATAAAAAAACTTAATTAGTGTAGCAGCCCATCCATCCATCCATCTAAACATTCGCATTAATAATATTAGTAAGTTAAAATATTCGAGAAAAAAATGAATAAATAGTATCCCATGTCCGTCTCCTGGCTGTGAGATACCTCCTCACCAATTTTCAGTCATATCGATAAAGCAGTTCTTGAATTATAAATAGTGTAACTAACACGACTTTCATTTATATATATATATAGATAAGTTGCGCCTGGTTAAAAAAATCGTAACAATTCATAGTGTACAAATTTTTCCATTTAATTTTATCTGCAGTGGTAACCGACAATTAAATATCTCTTTTAATCTGCTATGAAGAATGATAACGTTGTCTTAAATCTGACTGTCAATCCTTAAAAACATATATTTAACAATTTCCTAATTGAAGCTTTATCTTAAGAAGCTTTATTAGATATATTTTAATGTACGTAAACATTACCTTTGTATTTTTGAATATATAGAAGCAGGTCAAAACCCTTGTTACGTCCTAAATCAAGCATAAACTAATTGGAACATTAACAAGCTAGTATCGTTGCTATTGTTGTGCCCACGTATCGCCCACCCGCAACGTTTGATGAAAAGTCGACTTACCCTCCATCTGTTTGAAGCTTGTTTGATGTTTTATTGACTTTACAAGTTGAGGCCCGCGACTCCGTCCGCGCGGAATTAAAAGAACATAACATGTAGCCTATGCCTTCCAGACTATGTTCTACATGTGTAACAAATTTCATCAAAATCCGTTTAGCCGTTTCGAAGATATCTTCAAACAAAAATCTATCCATCTATCTAAACTTTCGCAAATATAAAATTAGTAATATAACATACATTTTAAAGAGTTAAGTAAGTGTCTATTTATAGAATACACAATAAGAAGAGAAAAGGATATAGAAATATACGAAAAAGATAGAAAAGATGTTTTCGTCTGATACTCTAGTCATAGTCGATCCAAGGCAGTCCCGGATAATTATTATAATAAACCAAACTTTAGTACTAAACAATGTAAACCAACGAATAGCATCGTTATACGTTTAGACATAAAATATCCAGGCCATTGTAATAAAAGCTAAATGAAGGTCGGTCTATGTTAGACGAGCCGAGCCGAGCCGCTCTGCTTGCAGTGTCAAGTGTGTGCTTACAACAGGCACTCACCTCAAACATAGTTTTCCGCTGTATTTTTACCGCCAAATTTCTTTGTGTTTCTCAGAATACTACCACATACCACGAGCCGTGCTCGAAGCGTGTTCTTTCGTCTACATTATACAAATTTTGGTTCGGCTCGTGCCCCGCTCGTGCTCGGCTCGTCTAGTGTATGCCCACCTTTAGTAAACCCAAACGTAGACTCTAAATAAATTCAAATCATTGCGTATTATATGTAAATTGGTAAAATGACACAACATGGCGCCTCGGCCTACTTTGTAGTAACTACAGTTTCATATTTTGTCTCAATTTATTCCATACTAGCGTTTGTCCGCGTCTCCCTACGCGCGGAATAAATAAGACATACTTAGTACCCTATGTGCTCTTCCATACTATGTTCTATATCTTTGCCAAATTTCAGAGAGATCCATGCAGCCGTTCTGGAGATACTTTCAAACAAACATCCATCCAAACATTAGCATTTATAATATTAGTAAGAAGTAAGATTAGTTTATTTTATCATCTGTTTCATGTTATTAAACTTTATAAGTGAGGATCATAAATAACAAAATATAGTTATTATTTCTATGTTTATTTTGAGTGGGAGTTATTCATGTTGAGACCTCCCAAAGAAAGTTCGCGTAGCCTCGAGCTACGCCACCTTTTAAGGTGTGCGCGAAATGTTAGTCTGTGAGGGTGAATGTACCTGAGAGGCGTGGGTGCACGCCTACGATCACATTTGATTTACTTATCTACTATGTTAGAAAATGAACTCCTTAATAGTTATGTTTTCTTGGTATTTTTAATTTAAACATTGTTAAATAGAATTACGAAAAGCTAAAACAAATAAATATTGTTACGAATCTCATGGGATATGCTATGTTTTTGATAAGATTGAGAAATTCTTTTTCTACTACAATAGTAAAGTTTAAATGTATATTTTTAAAGAAATTATTTTGAATTACAAAACAAATCGTCGCAATTAAACCACCGGTAATAATTAACACAGCGATACGTTCTGTGTTAATCTCAGCATGCCGATCTAACCGCTAGCTAATCTAATGTATGTACGTTCATTATCGTATACAACTGGTGATTACTCTTAGCATTTCATGCATGCCTGGTAGATAACGACGATCGGAACGATAGCGAGATGTAATAAGTGCAATTTAAAAATGAAAATGATACATAGATCTAACCACCCCATATGGGTGACATGAGAATTTTAATAATTCATCATTACATTGACGACTGGTCTCCTGGTAGATGTAAATGGTTTGAATTGGCGTCGTTACATCATTACGCTGGAATGTTTTGCCAATTATGGACCGGTTGGAAAGCGCGGTTTATTGCTCGACTGGACTCGAGTTTATAAATAGGCGCCATGAAGACATTTTTCAGACATAACACTATACAGTTTTGTCGAGTACAAATTGTATACGTAAGCTTAATATGTTTTGTTTACTCGCGTTTAGTTTGATGACTGCATGGCAACGAGGTTTATTGTTAATATTTTTCTTGCATTTGATTTAAATTAATTGCATACAATGTGTAACTTCCTAGTTGCATAGGTATCTGGGATTTGCTCCCAGGTGGTTTAACTATGCGTAATAGTTGCTTGTTATCGTGTGCACGTATGTGCGTATGATGCATGCGATTTGCACGTGTTGTAACTCTTAATGTTGCTGCACGCCTAATACATAAAAACTTATTCTCTAAGAGATACCAAATATTAATTTCAAATTTTTGTATAAACTTGTTTTTTTAATATTTCCCGGCACATAGGAGGATAAAATTGAGGTCTTTTTCAACAGTCCCAGCTGTTATTTTTAAATTATATTTTACATAAGACTTTGTCTCGTTAATAATGAAAAAAAAATTCATTTAAAGTATTAAAAATAAATCAATGTTTAAGTAAACGCGATAAAAGGATTATAAAAATAATTTATTCTGTATTCATAGTATTGAAAATCTGCTTGCATCGTGACTGCATTTGATTGCGCGCGGCAACCGCAAGAATGTTTACTCACGGATTCCTCCACGGATGTCTGCAGCCCTGGTCGCAATGATCATATTATGTGTTTAAATTACTTATAGTCGACAAAAAAAAAACATTTTTTGTGCTTCTTTACCAAAGAGGCGTCACGTTATATACGTTTTTTAAACTATCAAAACTTTTTAACGTCATTAGTTTATCAAATACAAAGAGAATGCTAAACGAAGTAATTAATATACAGTTCAGTTAACTTTGATAACATCAATTGTATTGAAGCTACCCTACTTTCCCGCCGAATATAAATTACTTACATAATTATTGTAATTTGCTTTGTTAAAAATATAAAGAAAATAAACATTTCAAAGAATATAAGCAGAGATGTGGTAAACAGGTTTTTGTATCGATTGGTTGTTTGTCCATTGATTTGACCTTCCTTATATCAGACACTTTAATGATGTAAAATAAGGTTAAAACCTGATTTAGTCTTGATTAAAATGGCAACAGACTTGCTGGTAAAGTTGTTAAAAGCTATTCCAATACGTTTACATTCGATTGAATCACTCGATAATTTTCTAATAAAAATGTACGGAAAAGACGCAAATTTAGTTTGTTCGACTTTATTTATTAACGGAATAAAAGCAGTACAATATCATTTATTTTTAAATTTGGCAACTATAATGAGTGTATTGTTTGCTTGCAGGTGTCCTCACCGTCCGCAGGCGAGATGAGTGAGCGCGAACGATACCGCGCGCCGCCGCAGCCTGAGCCGCCGCCGCACCGCGTGCGCGCCGCGGACCTGTACCCCAGGCTGCGCGCGCATCATGACGAGCCCGGTCTTGATGCCGGCTTCACGCCTATATGCGGTGAATATGTGCAGGTACGGACCACTCTAATCCATTTATGTACCACTGGTGTTTTTTTTTGTTATCAGGGAGGAAATCACAATAAAGATACCCTGCTCCTGGGGGGAGGCATTATCTAGATAATCCCGGAGCTACGCCAGTGGTACTAGTACCACTAGCGTAGCTCCGGGATCTCGGGATCTCCCGTGGTACACACCGGTGCCTCCTATTTATGTAGTCCTATTACTATAGCAGGGCCAATTTAATTAGCTCCATAGTGGGGCGAGTTAATCAATAAGGATTTTATACATATGTCAATTGAATTCAGTTATTATGAAATTAATAACATTCACTGACGTTCGATGCTTATTATTGCAATGAAAATGTAATCGAAATTTGTAAAAACTTAAACAATTATACAAAATATTATAATTTATGCTCGCCGTTACAAGGTTACATTGTTGGATTAAGATTTACCATGAGTTTCTGAGTCTTAAAATCTCAGTTTTAAATATATTGTTCTCTGTGTTGTCAAAGATAATGATATGCTCTATACAGAGATGTAGGACTCGGAAACCCGGGGTAAATGTCAAATGTGATATATTAAATTGGCCCTGTAATAGTACTCTGACACGAGCAAACTGTTTTCACTTTCAATTTGATCTTGTGTTCTCACTGATACACTTTCATTTTCATTAATTAACTAGCTGTCGCCCGTGAGGATATATAAAAAAACTTAATTAGTGTACATCCACATCACATCCATCTAAACATTCGCATTTATAATATTAGTAAGTTAAATAAAAAAGCAGCTGTTTAAGGCATAAATTCGAAAAAAAAATAGTATACCATGTCCGTCTCCTGCCTCTAAGCTACCTCCTCACCAATTTTCAGCCATATCGTTATAAATAGTGTAACTAACACGACTACTAGGTGGGGTAACACCGTTGAAATGGAAACACAAGTGTTAAAATAATTGATGATAGTAAATAACTTTCAATTGTTATTAAATAAACATAGAATTAATTAATATTGTGTTTAAACAAAATTGTGCTTATTTTACACGCGTTATTTTGTAGCTATTGTTAACAAATTCATAATTAATATTTAAATTTGTTTAAAAACATTTGATCCAATTATAATTTGCAAAATTTTATTTACATAATTGTTTCCAAAGCTACCTACGTTTGTAATTTTAATAACTAGCATATAAGCGTCCTGGATGCGGGTGGCACAAGACCGGTCATCGTAGCGATCTTTGGGGGAGGCCTATGCCCATCAGTGGGCGTCTCATGGCTGAGAAAAAGATATAAACTTTGTTAATATGACTTACCAGCTGTCGCCCGTAACACTGTCCGCGTGGTATTAAAAAAAACTTAATTAGTAGCATTTTATTAATTAGTAGTTCTTTGGACTATGTTCAGTTCAGCCGTACTGGAGATACCTTAATACAAACATCTATCCAGCCATCTAAACATTCAAAATTTATAATATTAGTAAGTTATAAATTACTGGTGTATAATAAGTATAGACTTTACCTTATTTAACTTGTAGAAACGCTTCAGTAGTTAACAAAAATTGATTACGCAAAATTGATATTCATTGGTTATAGTACAGCGTAGTAAATAGTACAGAGTTCGTTCAACCCAATACGCATTCAACCCGGTGACCTTACGAGCCGTCTATTGAACAGTTGTATTGCCCTACTACACGCTTATCCTGTTCTCCTGATAACTTCTAACTTATAAATACTAATATTATAAATTCGCATGTTTGGATGTATGGATGGATGGATTGGATGTTTGTAAGAAGGTATCTTCAGAATGGCTCCATGGATCTCGCTGAAATTTGGCATACAG